TCATACATGATTTATACCTTTTCAGGAACCAAGTGAGTTAAATTCTGTTTGAATCAAGATGAGACAATTCAGTCACTGCAAATGCAGTAAGGAAATGGAATTTAGTAGAGATTTGGATACCAGTAAATCGAATGTCAGAAGCTCTGAAATTTCTAAAAACCCGATACCAGTGACTCAATAGGGCAGCTGTTGTATTAGAAGTGTCTCTTAAAACACTAAGAGGAAAATCAGAACAATTCCAGCAGCATGATATTCACATGCTCTCCCAGAAAGTCCCTTGAAACACTTTTTTGGGGGGGAGAGGGCTTCCCAACAATGAAATTTCACACTATTGGCAATCTCCTATTAATAAATAATAATGTAATATTTTGCTTACTTATAACACTGTGTATGCGTTCCATTTTAGCTCAAAAAGTCATACAGGTGGAACAAATTGCCTATGTAACCCTCAGGAAGAAAGGACCCAATCTAACATTTCTAGGGCTGGAATTCTACAATCAGAACAATTCCACAATCGGGAAAGAAACTTTTCTGTTTAATAGTAGGTCCAAATGATATGGAATAATTACTATACTTAAAGAGATCATGAGGAGAGCCAATCTGGTGTCGTGGTTCATCAGGCATCAGGATAGAAACCAGAGATGGTGAGTCCTAGTCCCACCTTAGGCACAAAGCCAGCTGAGTGACCTTGGGCCAGTCCCTCTCTCTTAGCCCCAGGAAACAGGCAATGGCAAACCACTTCCAAAAAACCTTGCCAAGAAAACTGACTCAAAGGCACAAATAAAAAAGAGATCATAGTAACTACTGTCACAGTAGCCTCAAAAATGGATCATGGCATAACATAGGAATGAGCTAGAAATGCTTCCTTTGCTATTTCTAGTCTGATGGACTTTATTTCTATTTGTTCCTTTCATCAGTAGGAGAGATAGATCTCCTTTGGGGAAGACATCAAGGACCCTCAAGGGACATTCATGCAATGGCTTTTTGTTGTTGAAATCAGAGGGTGTTTATGCTCAAAATGCAAGCATGGTTCTCTAGTACAGAGGAGCACAGGGAAGTTAAAAAAAAATTACATCCATGTTTAAAATAGAACAAAAACGCAATCCCTTCTACATGCTGTTTACATGTCTTACCATGTATGTATTCTTTTCAACACATATATTTTAATTATACATATCATGAATACAGAGCATGAAAAGCTATCTTGAAAAACTTGCTTTAATCTGAGCCTGCTGGCATGTTGCAGGTATTATAAGCTTTCCTGTTTGGACTTGCTTGAGGTAGGACTGGAAGTTCTGGATCTTACAAACATTCTGTCTTTTGATATCTTGGCATTATTATTTTTACCAATGTATCAGGGCTTTATTGTCTTTATTGTGCATTGCCCACGAACGCTGCAAGATTTATTTGAACTCTGCGGTACATACATATGACAGAAAGACCTCAGGGTAGAAGCATTTGCACACAGAATCATAGAGTTGGAAGGGGTTGTTTCAGCCACTGAATCCAACAATGTGGAGGGCTACAAAATAAAGCATCCCTAACAGATGGCAGTCCAGCTCCATCTGAAAAGTGAAGATGAGCCCATCATCCTTCTGAATAATTGGTTCTGTTTAAGTATCTCCTGTTTCAGCACCCAAAACCTTTAGCTGTCTGTCATCGCAGTATGTCTAAACTTGGTATGTTGCCACCACTGAAGTCTCCCAATGGCTGACATTCATCATCATCATCGTCAGTTAAAAAGTTCTTATGTCATTTATGGACCATATATCCCCCATGTACCAATTCTTAATACTTAACTGAAACTCATGACCAAAGTTGTTTTTTTAAAAAGAAACTCACTTTTTTTTTTCTCCATAGGAAGACCCCCTTGTCTAGGGGATCAGTTGATCAAGTATACATAAGTGGAAACTAAAAATCTGCTAGAGGGTAGTAATTTTTATTAACAACTGCTTAAAATTTGTAATGGAACAAGAAGTAAGTGATCCAGAAATATGTTTTTAATATATTAAGTGCTTTAATAAATGTACCAACATTATTCATTATTATGGTCCAAGTACAGATTTTCCAGATGTGTTATATAGATGTTTTGAACATCTTTTTACTTTGGCTGTGAATCATTTAATTATGGCTAGAGATTTTAATCAAGTTTTAGGGTTATTAAATTGGACTACTACACTACCAAAATCTAATTCTTGCACATGGAAGGTATTGCAAGGTCGTATATGGATTTAAATTTGGTGGACATATAGTAATTTTAGCATCCTTTGCAGCAAAAATATTCTGTTTTTTTAGTTTCACATGAGTCTTGTTCTCAACAAGATTACTTTCTGGAATCTCAGTCTTTAATTGAATGGATTAATAATTGCAATAAGCTAATATTGCTGAATTTGATCATGTCCCAGTAACATTATCAATTACAAGAGTCATTCTATTTTTCTAAGATGGTATTTAAATACAGCATTACTGAAAAATCCCCTTTTTATAAAACAGACAGAACAAGAGGGGTTTTTTTCTCTTATAAAGAGACATTCTGTGAATGTCTGACATATCTACATGCTCATGCTATTGCTTGTGCTTCATAGAAAAGGAAAAATCAAAAACTAAAGCAAGAAAATTTGGGGAGGGGAGTAAGGAATTGATGCAAAGAGACTGACACTAGAGTTACATAAATCTCTGCCCTCAAGAGCAACAGGTTTCATCTTTTGCATAAAATATTTGAACAGCTAGCATGCCACCCCTGATTAATCTTTTCTTCAGGCTAAATATACCCAAATTCCTTCAGACACTCCTTACAGCAACTCCCCTGCACATCTACTAGTTTTTCATTGCACTTCTTAAAATGTAACATCTAGGATCAGTTAAGTACTCAAGGTAAGGTTTGACCAATACAGCATAAAAGTTGAGATACGACTTCTCATGATCTCAACAGTCTTACTCTGTTAATATAGTCTGTGGTTGTATTCGCTTTTTTAGCATGCTGGCTCACATTTAAGCTGCAACAAACAAGGCACTTAAATCCTTTTCCCATCTACTTTTGCCAAGCTTGCTCTCACCCATCCCACATGCCTTTTATTCTTTTGTACCTGAATGTTGGACTTAAAATTTATTTCGGTTAAATTTCATCTTGTTAGTTTAGGCCTGTCAAGACCTTTTGAATATTGATTATGTATTCCCTAGTACTGATAACCCTTGCCAATTTTCTGTCACCTACCAATTCGATAAGCAACTCACCTCTCTTTCATTCAAATTCTCTGCTCAAATAATGGAAAGGCAGGGCCTAAGTTAAGGCCATGGAACACCCGTTTGAAATCTCCCTCCAGGGTGGCACAAAGCAATAAATGAGCACTTATTGGGTCGTTATTTAATCAGTTAGGATCTACCCAACAACAGTCCTTTCCAATCTCCATCTGGACATTTTGCCAATCCCCACTTTACATTTTTGGCAAACCATTTCTAAGTGTCAGCCCCACCATATAGACCAGACCAAGAATCAGCTCCATAGGAAAGCTAAGACTACTTTTATAGAGAGTAGTTATAACAACAAGAACTTGCAAATCTGATTGTGCTATAATGTGAATTAGTGAGGTGTCTGTCCGAGAGACTTCTACATACTTTCTGCTTGTTCTGGACTTAATTTTTTTTTCCTCATTGTTGCTTTGATAAAGGATCTTGTCCATCTACATCAAGACTGTGTTTCTTACTCTCTACACTGAGCACTGGAAACCATAAGACTATAGTTTTTTTGTTTTTGTTTTTTTAACATTCCCTGATACAGTATGTTCCCAATCAATGTCTTCCTACATCTCTTCTGATCTAGAAGAAGAAATAAATTAGGAAAACAAATTAGGAAGAAACAAAATCTACCTCTTTTCTGAGAAAAGTACTATACCTCTGGGTTCAACACCATTCATAATGCCATGGTGCTGAGGCTCGACTATAACAGGGCTTTCCCTATGGCCAACATCACAACCTCAAATGCAGAAGAGCACAACCAAAAGCTTCAAGTCTTCAATATAGTCTACACAACTTTCCAAACACTGCCACCAAACTGTAAATGTTAATGTGACTAATGGGTCAGGTTATTAAATCAATGCAGAATTGTTACAAGTACACTGACTTGATTCAATTGTAATTAATTTTTCATATAATTTTTCATATAAATGAAATCAAACTAAGTTTTATCCTGGCCCCACCACTTTGACAGCCCTACTTACTTGCAACCATTACTACTACTACTACTTACTACTACTACTTACTTCCAACCATTGGGGGAAAACACTTATATGCTTCTGCTCTAAGAAGACACTGGCTCCCTTAAGACATGTTTTCCCTTTGATTTCGTCTCACGTAGCAACTTATTTATCATCACTGACGACCAACATATAAATTACTCAGGCAAAGTAATTGGATCTTTGCTCTCTGGACCTTTCACGATATTTACATTTATCTGGTTGTCTCATCCCTCAAGTTCCAATTTTCAGCGTATGTGACCTTGGGGAGGATACACCTTTCTCAGAAGACTAACAGACTTTAGGAGAAGACTGGCAGTCAGCCAGCCTGTATAAATTCCTAATTGAGTGCAGATTGCTTCTTCCTTCCAAAAGTATGCATCAAGGCCATTTTTTCAGGAAGCTTTAGGCAATGCCTGTTGCATTTGCCAGAACAGACCTCAGATGGATTTGCAGATCTCCCTCATGGGGCTGAAGAAGCCAGGAAAAAAGCTTACTGCATCATTTATTTGCATGCATATTGAGCACAAAAAGAGAAATTTTCCCGTTTTCTTAAACCT